AAGTATCGGACTGCATCCAGATATAGACAAGCAGAGCTTCTCGCTGCATATGTATCCAGCATTGACAGCCACGCAGAGCGCTCGCTTACCCCACGCTTGGACAAAAAGGAGTGTATATATAACACTCTTTATGGAGTCGTCTTTGTGTATATACACAGCCAGGTTACTCCGTATGTATCGAGATATAATAAGGGAGCCCGATATATATCACAAGGAGGGATATACGTGCAGTAGCTTCCGGGAGAGGGATCTCTCGCCCGGCTGCTGTCCTTCCCATCTGTCCACTCCTGCCCTCCCCCAACATCTCGATGGTTGCTCCTTTTTGCTCAGGCTATCTGGGCCAACAAGACCCCCCCCTGGCGAGAGACGGGAGCGATACGCCAGGATGTCAACCTTGTCCTCGCTTCATCGTCCTTTTTTTTTCTATCTGCGTTTCTTTTTCTTTTTGGCTTCCCTTCTGTTTTTCCTTTTCGCGTTTCGTCTGTGTATTTTTGCTTCTTTCTCTGCGGAGAATTGCCTGCCTGCCTTCTTGTACTTTTTTTTTTGTACTCTTTCTGCTCTTTGCTTGCTTTTTTGCCTTCCTGTGGGCTCGATGGTGGGCTCACTGGCGGCACATATGTACTCCAGACTTCGGAGGTCAAAGCTGGCGGCGGACAGGTGGAGAGCCATCGAAATTGAGAGAGCGAGAGTAGTACTCCGTAGTGAGCAGAGACTGTGCGTTCAAGTTCAAGCAGGCAAGGAAGCAAGAAGAAAAGCAAAGGGGAGATAAAAAAAAGAAAGAAAGAGAAAGAAAAGAAGAAGAAGAAGAAGAAGAAGGCCCATGAGCATGATGCCGAATAATGCACCTCCAGCATCATCACTTTCTCCCCTAAAACTACCTTGCTACCTTGTTATATGTACCGCGGTACGGAGTACATGCAGAGGCAAGTCGATGTACATGGCCAGCGCATGCCATGCACCTCCCCCAGTACGGAGTCCGGAGTACCGTACAACAACCTGCTCAATAGGCGAGCAGGCGCGAGAGGTCCAGATCATAAACGACCGTCCACTTTTTTGCTCAGTCCTTTTTCCTCTCTCCCCAATCCCATCTTTCTGCCTTCTCTTTTTCCTGTCTCCCCTCCCAACCCCGGGCAGCCTGCTACGTGGCGGTCCCTTTCAAAAGAAAAGCAAAAAGATGAGCAGACAGAGAGAAGGGGGAGAGATAGAAAGAAATCGAGGGAGAGGGCAAAAAAAAAAAAAAGCAAAAGGTGAGAGGTGACGAGCGAAGTGCGAATAGTGTCCAAAAAAAGGTATGTGAAAATCACCATCCCCACGATGCCTGTTCATGCTAGTTTATCAGTGTCGACTTTGTCCTATGAAGGATACTTGCTCTGTTGGGGATTTCATTGCTATAGTTAGTCAATTATTAATTAACTCATCCTAAGCATTCCGTTTGGCGAGTAAGTAGGTCGTTATTAGGGGGGGAGGGGGGGAAGAGCGGCCATTTTCTCCGTCAACTGTGTTTGAATATTGCCCCCGTATATTAAAGCAGGAGAGATTCTGGTAGTTGAGTTAAGACTCGTTCGCTACTCCATAGTTGACGACGAGGATGGAAAAATTCGCTCTCGCGCCGGCGCTCGGAAGGCCAACTTGCAGCGCGAAATTCTCTTTCACCCCAAAGGTCGAAGCTGGCACCAAACGACCGACCAGCCATGCTCCTGCTCACTCACCTTGCTGCCATCATCGAGCCAAAGCTGGCGGTGGATGGGTGGGAAGTGGATATCGCGGGCTGGGCGCATAAAAAACGAGTGGACGGGAAAGCGACCACGTCAACGAGCTCTAAACGCCATCAAGTTAATCACAAGAAGAGACAGAGACAGAGGAGGGAGAGAAAGAAAAAGAACAGTTAAAAGAGGACGAACGAAGCAGAGCAGCGCAGGAAAAAGAAAGGAGGAGAGCCCCCGGAAGTCAAAAGGGCCAAAGGGCAGGCAGCCCAGCGCGAAAGATAGAAAGATGGATAGCCAGTCTGCTGGCGCCCACCTTCCGGCTCGCTCCTGGCCAGTTGTCCTTGGACATCCCGTTTCCTTTTCCTGGTGTGGTGGTTGAGCTGGAGAATCGTAAAAATGGGGGATGGCGATGGATGCTGGCCTGGGCGAGAGTGACGCAGTACTCGGGCAAAAGGTACCCTTGACCAGGCTGCGCAGCCCAACTGCGCCCTGCCGTCAAGGTCACTGGTACCTCTGGCTGCCGTCCCCCGTCGTCTGCTGGCCTCTCCCTGTCCCGTAACATCCTTCATCCCAGCAGAGGGTGGAGCGGGTATTCTGTGTTCCCAGGCTGAGCTTGATACTTCCACGCCGCGGCCGTCACTCGCTGGGGGCCAGATGGTCCCTCCGTATATCAAATGGGTACATATACTGAAGTATACTGAGTCGTAGTATCGAAGTACCAGCCGTAATGCAAATTTGTACCGTGGCATACAGACAGCCAGACACCGCATACGCGCCGTACAGTACATCAAATGGCCGTCTCTCGGCTCGCTCGCTCGCTCACTCTCGTCGTCGTCTCTTGAAGATTCGCTGCTCCACTGGGGGGCCAGTCGCAACCCCGTACTTTCTGCTCTGTGGCCGGAGACTCCGGGGCAGGAGAAACGAACGAGCTGTGATCTTCTTCTGCTTACGCGCCCGTGGCAGAGGCGATGTGATCCCGGGGTGGCCGTCATGTCGATACAGCGGCTTGCTTTCCCCCGATTATTAACCCGGTGCCTGGTCTCTAGGTCGTCTCTCTTCAGGCGTCTCGTCTGACAGTCTGCACGTCAGTACGGAGTCCTCGGGACTGGAGCAGGCGAGCCGAGTCAGCAGCGACTCCATAACTACTTACCTTCATAGCGAGAGTACCTCCCTGGCCGGCCTGATATCAGGTCGGGATCATTGAGATGGTCGCAATAGGTGAAAAAGAAAAGAAGAGAGTGCGGTGATGGTCATGGCGGGTTTCAGCTGCACCCACCCGCCGTTGCATATGCGAGTATTGAAATAAAAATAAATAGAGAGAGAGAGAGAGAAAAAAAAAAAAAAAAAGAAAGAAAAAGGAAAAGAAAAAGAATCATGATAATACTTCGGTACCTAGTGATAAAATAATGATTATAATATCAGGATAAAAAAAAATAAAAATCAGACAGCGCATCCAACTGATCTCCACGTCGTCCGTGGAACTGGATGCTTAGCCCTGCTGCAGTGGCGAGCAGCGGACGACCTCCCGGCGGTGACGATGATTGTGATTATGAAGGTGATTATGAAGAAGAAGAAGAAGAAGAAGAAGACGATTATGATGCATGCGTGAAGAGTTGCTGCTGCTACCAACTCCTGATGCATCTACTTTGCCCCTGAACACTTTGATATCAAAGCCAGCACGAAACAGCGAGCAGTGGAGTTGGATGGCTAGGGGTGAGATATCAGGTATCTTCACTCAACCCGGTGCATAACCAAGCACGCTTCATGCACTCCTGCGTGCAGCGCTCGTTTTGCCTCCCTTATATCATCTTAGTTGCGGTAACCAAGCGACGGGGATTGCGAGCGAAGAATACACCCGTCCGGCCATGGCAGAGCCCAGATATCACCCGACGGATGCAAGGCACTCATGTCGT